AAAAAAAAAAAAAAAAGGAGAGAAAGAAACAAAAAGCACCAGCCTGTGTGGCCTGGTAAATGTGATTTCAGGCGTCTTGGCCTCTCTCGTTCCTCCTCCCGTTCCCTGCCTTTCTGGAAGTTAATTCTGTGGAAGGAWAACCCCAAATGTCTGGGTCATATTACCCTGGAAGTGCTGGGAGCTGCTCAGCAAACTGCCCTGTGTTTCACTGGGGTCCTGCACAGGGAACAGCAGATTCAGAGTCCCAGAATGGTTTGGGTTGGAAGGAGCTTTGAAGGCTCATCCTGTTCCAAACCCCCACCATGGGCAGGGACACCTCCCACTGTCCCAGGCTGCTCCCAGCCCCAATGTCCAGCCTGGCCTTGGGCACTGCCAGGGATCCAGGGGCAGCCACAGCTTCTCYGGGCACCCTGTGCCAGTGTCTCCCCCCTCTGCATGGGACAGGGAGACTCTYGTGGGTGGAAAAGATGCCAGTTTTGCATTTCCAGATGTGAAAACGAGCAAGTCCATAAGGTTCTGGCTCCTGAAAAGACCCAGAGCACTTTCAGCACCTGGGGCAAGAGCAAGGGAAATCCGTGATCCTGCTGAAGCAGCACCCAGCTCTACTCACCATCCTGCCTTTTCTGTCCAGCCTTGACCTTTTCCCCCTCCACTCTCCTGAAGTTTCTCCATCCCTTGCCAAGCATCACCAGCCCCTCCAGCACCATCCCTGCTCCCAGAGGTTGATCCAGGATGGATGGAGGGCATTGCTCTTCCCTGCTGCTGACTCCAATGCCAGCATCACGCTGAGCAGCTCATCTTTCCTGCGTGCCTATTAAGCAAAAATTAAAAGAAAATTACATGGGGAAGTCAGCAGCAAGTAGAAGGGGACGGGCTGTAATTATCTGACTATTAATTGGCATAAAGCTCCACTTTAATGCTCTCAGGCCCGTGYTGCTATTTCCTAGGGAAATTTTCTCTCTATTAGCTTTGGATGAGAACTGGGATTCTCYCTGGGAGCTCAGAGCCCACCCAAAAGGTGACTTTCAGCCTCAATCCTTCAGCAGGTTTTTGTTTTCGAGGGACAAAATTGAGAGGTTGTTCCTGACACGGCTTCATCCGCCCGAGGTGGAGGTGGGAAGAGGCAAAATTCACTTTTATTGAACGGTGATAACCAAGCATGACCCTTTGGAAATTCAGTTTGCTCCAAATACAAAACCCAGAAATAAAACAACTCCAGGGATTGGTTCCCCTGTGGCTTCTGCCCTTGGGAATTCCCTTGGGAAGGGTAAAAAACCTCCTGATCCAAACCTGCCAATTAAACTGACCCAAAGCATACAAACACCCTCCAACCCACTCCTGCCAGACCCCAGCAGGAGCTGATTTTGCTCAGGGACCTGAAGATTTCTCTTTAAGCTACATTCTCCTTTAATTCTCGAGCAAAAGAAAAAGAAAACTTGCTAAAGTGAGCTCAGGAAAAAGAAAAAAAAAAGGGAAAAGGGAAGAAATAGGGAAAAAACAAACAGGAAGAAACACCTGCGGGAAAAAGGAAAAAAAAAAACAGGAAAGAGGAAGGAGGGATTTTATTTAGTTCACAGCTTGGAAGCTCAGAGCAAGGAATAAAGAATTGTCCCTTCATCCATGGTTCTCCAGGGACTGCAGTAACATGGAACTACACACCTTTGGGGGCAAAAAGGCTAATTGTCAGCATTCCAAACCCTCAAGAACTTTTAAAAATCCTCAAAAATTGTTTCTCTCTCCATATGTCCCTCTAATTTCCAAACCCAGCAGAGCAAACTTCTACAGCAAAGGCCCAGGAACGCTCTGTGTCACCTGTCAGGAGCAGCATGAATCCCTGCACATGGCATGAGGGCTGGAATGAGATCACCCCTAAGGTCCCTTCTTAACCCAAACCATTCTGCAATTCTATGAAAAAATGAGGATTTTACCAAACTTCAGAGACAATCCCCAGCTGCGGAGGCTCAGCTCACCACTCTGGAAAAGACTTCGCTTTGCCACCTGTCCCAGAGGAGTCATTCCCTTTAAAATTTTAATTTTTAATCCCCTCCTAGGCTGATAAGTTAGTTTTTCTGTGTGATTTTGTACCTGAGCAGAGAGAAGGGAAACCCTGGTGCCACCCTGCTGCTACTGACACAAGAATGGCAGCTTTTCCAAACCAGCAGCTTCTGTTTCCCCCTGCCCTATCCCGAGTAAATTAACCCCAAATCTCTTTGTTTACCCCTATTAAACTCTCGTGGCTCACAGAAAATGCTGTTCCAGGCTCTTTCCTGAGCAGGCAAGAGCCTTTGTTCCCTTTCACCCTGGGGGAAAGCAGGGTTTAGATCATCTCAGAATGCCAGAAAGCAATTTATTTTGACCTGGGCTGTTCCTGCAAAGTCATCTCTTGGCTCCAGCACGTGGCAAGCTCTGTCAGCTGGATCACATGGGTAGGGGACAGGGTTATGGCACACAGAGACAGGGATATGGCACACAGGGACAGGGTTATGGTACACAGGGACAGGGTTATGGCACACAGGGATAGGGGACAGCGTTATGGCACACACAGATAGGGGACAGGGTTATGGCACACGGGGACAGGGTTATGGCACACAGGGACAGGGTTATGACACACAGGGACAGGGTTATGGCACACAGGGACAGGGTAATGGCACACAGGGACAGGGATAGGGGACAGGGTTATGGCACACAGGGACAGGGATATGGCACACAGGGATAGGGGACAGGGTTATGGATAGGGGACAGGGTTATGGATAGGGGACAGGGTTTTGGCACACAGGGACAGGGTTATGGCACACAGGGATAGGGGACAGGGTTATGGCACACAGGGACAGGATTATGGCACACAGGGATATGGCACACAGGGACGGGACAGGGTTATGGCACACAGGGACAGGGTTATGGCACACAGGGACGGGACAGGGTTATGGCACACAGGGACAGGGTTATGACACACAGGGATAGGGGGCTATCGATAGGGGACAGGGTTATGGCACACGGGGACAGGGTTATGGATAGGGGACAGGGTAATGGCACATGGGGACAGGGTTATGGCACACAGGGATGGGGTTATGACACACAGGGACAGGGTTATGGCACACGGGGACAGGGTTATGGCACATGGGGACAGGGTTATGGCACACGGGGATAGGGTTATGGCACATGGGGACAGGGTTATGGCACACGGGGATAGGGTTATGGCACATGGGGACAGGGTTATGGCACAC